GATTTTTTTTTCAGAAACATAGCTATTAATATATAGCGATCTCGAATTCTTAAAATTGAGTGAGAAACGCCCACAAACGTGAGTGGAAGAAAATAACTTGGTGTATAGTGTACGAGCGGCTTCGACATAGTAGGTGATGCGGATCCCATCGGTATGGATTCCCCCTCCTCCCAACTTTAAGGTCTCTAATACTGTTTTCAGAAAAACATCGTTCAGCGTGAATGTTCTATTAGGTTGCTCAAGTACTAGGCGGTCACATCGTCGACTTCTCCAAAATTGTGATTGGCGTGTCAAGATGTAGCTGTGATACGATAGATTTCTCGTTCAAGGCGACAGTTCCTTCTTATCTATCATTTTCATATCACCTTAACGACTCGAACGACTAATCCAAAATGCCTTAGAAAAAAATCCTCGCATTACGGGTCAGTGGCTTGCTCTCATTTAGCAGGCAGTTGATTACCGAAAATAAACCTGCGTCACCACTTGGCTTCAGCATGACAAAAGTCACAGATGCCCTACAACCGAAGGCTAACATTACAAGGATCGCAGGACGACGGTAATCACGACTACCCTAGCAAATGCCTACGAGAAAATGGCTACAGCGGGCTCTATTTACCACTGCGTCTACTACTACTTAACCCTTTCGTAACATTCACTTTTGACCTGGCTATGTTATACTATAAAAAGCCAAGTCATTAGGCCATGAAAGGGTGATTTTACCCTTTCATAAACGACGGCACTACATGAAATCTTCCGCAAATCGTTATAGTTCAAGTAGAATGGCGATTCCGCCTCGTCCGCACACAAAATTTAATGAAAGGGTGCCCCTATTGACCACGAAAGCGTTAATGTACTCCCGCCGTACGGTGGTGCTATCACGGCTACTACTGGTTGCGATTTACTACCTAAGGGTTTCCTGACTACGATGAGTATTCGATGTAGACATTGCGTGCAGCTACACCTAAAACTAAAGCAAGAATGGTATGCAAGAGGCAGTGTACGTCGTAGTGCTGGTTAAACAATATCGACAATCGCAGTACATGTGTATCCATGTGGTGCGTTCACACTGATTTTTAACATTTTTGTTGTATATTAAACCATCTCAACTCAAAAGAAAACAACACCCACGGGTAGCGAGCACTATACACCTGCGCGCAAGGAAACCACCAATTCAGCCTCGCGTCAACATGATGCTCCATCATTGCGTTTATATGTACAGTGACGGACAGAATGCAACTGCCGGCAGCTAATTGACAGTCAAATTCCAAAACGAACAGAAAAGACACTGTAGACCGTGAATAACTAACCAATCAAAGTATAGTTCGACCTAATATTAGCCAATCACACAACACCACCAACTCGTTGGTTCCTAGCCTCTCAGTCGGTAAAATGGAGGCAGCCACAACACCGGACGAGGAGGACGAAGTGCTTTTGCAGGCAGAGCTAGCAGCCGTGGACGCTTTGATTGCTGCTGCAGATACGAATCTATGGTCGCTATTGTGCGCGATAACTACTCCGCGTGGCTATACTGTACGTCAAAGTCATAATAGACGCTAGCACTGCAAATGTCACGGGGTTACACGCAAGTGGCTACCTGTAGCCACTTGATTACGACAATGGGTTTCACGTTGGTGTGAGATACACCAATGGTTACACTTGTCAGACCACTGGTCTGTGTGCATTTAGACTTCCTATT